GGAAATATTTGTTTTTAATCAAAATTGTGACAGAACCAAATCGATCATATCTAAAATAGTTTTATTTAATATGATGTACGGATCAATCAGATGTGAAAACTGTATCATTCGATCGGGATCAATTTTTTTATTTGTATTCCGTAAATCCCTAGTCGTCGTTAAATTTCCAAACTTAATATTTCTTCTGACCATTCTTGTATGTCTTTTGTTGAAGTAAATTAATGGCTTTTAAAGAAAATTTAATTTGACTTCATATTTTATGTAATAAGATCTTGGGCTATTAATTTATAGTACCAAGAAAATGTTTTTTTTTTCACAAAAATTTGCTGATAATACAGGATTGCAACATTTAGTTACAAAGAAATATGAACAACTAATTGGTATACAGTAAGTTCCCATAGAAATGGAAATAGATACAAATCTTATAATAAAAACTAATATTAAAATTAAAATAATATTGAAGAGCATACTGCTAATCCAACTAATAATAATAAAACTGAACTAGTTCTGGTTCAGTTCAGTTCTAGTTCAGTTCTAGTTCAGTTCTAGTTCTAGTTCAGTTCTAGTTCAGTTCTAGTTCAGTTCTAGTTCAGTTCTAGTTCAGTTCTAGTTCAGTTCTAGTTCAGTTCTAGTTCAGTTCTAGTTCAGTTCTAGTTCAGTTCTAGTTCAGTTCTAGTTCAGTTCTAGTGCAGTTCTAGTTCAGTTCTAGTGCAGTTCTAGTTCAGTTCTAGTTCAGTTCTAGTTCAGTTCTAGTTCAGTTCTAGTTCATTTCTAGTTCAGTTCTAGTTCAGTTTAGTTCAGTTCTAGTTCAGTTCTAGTTCAGTTCTAGTTCAGTTCTAGTTCAGTTCTAGTTCAGTTCTAGTTCAGTTCTAGTTCAGTTCTAGTTCAGTTCTAGTTCAGTTCTAGTTCAGTTCTAGTTCAGTTCTAGTTCAGTTCTAGTTCAGTTCTAGTTCAGTTCTAGTTCAGTTCTAGTTCAGTTCTAGTTTCAGTTCTAGTTCAGTTCTGGTTCAGTTCTGGTTCAGTTCATCTGGTTCAGATCTAGTTCAGTTCTAGTTCAGTTTCGAGTTCAGTTCTAGTTTAGTTCTAGTTTAGTTCTAGTTCAGTCTGAGTTCTAGTTCAGTTCAGTTCTAGTTCAGTTCTAGTTCTAGTTCAGTTCTAGTTCAGTTCTAGTTCAGTTCTAGTTCGTTCTAGTTTCAGTTCTAGTTCAGTTCTAGTTCAGTTCTAGTTCAGTTCTAGTTCAGTTCTAGTTCAGTTCTAGTTCAGTTTCTAGTTCAGTTCTAGTTCAGTTCTAGTTCAGTTCTAGTTCAGTTCTAGTTCAGTTCTAGTTCAGTTCTAGTTCAGTTCTGAGTTCAGTTCTAGTTCAGTTTCTAGTTCAGTTCTAGTTCAGTTCTAGTTCAGTTTCTAGTTCAGTTCTAGTTCAGTTCTAGTTCAGTTCTAGTTCAGTTCAGTTCTAGTTCAGTTCTAGTTCAGTTCTAGTTCAGTTCTAGTTCAGTTCTAGTTCAGTTAATTCCTATCTAGTTCCAGTTTTCTAGTTCTAGTTCAGTTCTAGTTCAGTTCTAGTTCAGTTCTAGTTCAGTTTCTAGTTCAGTTCTAGTTCAGTTCTAGTTCAGTTCTAGTTCAGTTCTAGTTCAGTTTCTAGTTCAGTTCTAGTTCAGTTCTAGTTCAGTTCTAGTTCGTTCTAGTTCAGTTCCTAGTTCAGTTCTAGTTCAGTTCTAGTTCAGTTCTAGTTTCAGTTCTAGTTCAGTTCTAGTTCAGTTCTAGTTCAGTTCTAGTTCAGTTCTAGTTCAGTTCTAGTTCGTTCTGTTCAGTTCTAGTTCAGTTCTAGTTCAGTTTCTAGTTCAGTTCTAGTTCAGTTCTAGTTCAGTTCTAGTTCAGTTCTAGTTCAGTTCTAGTTCAGTTCTAGTTCAGTTCTAGTTCAGTTCGCTAGTTCATTCTAGTTCATTCTAGTTCAGTTCTAGTTCAGTTCTAGTTCAGTTCTAGTTCAGTTCTAGTTCAGTTTCTAGTTCAGTTCTAGTTCAGTTCTAGTTCAGTTCTAGTTTCAGTTCTAGTTCAGCTCTAGTTCAGTTCTAGTTCAGTTCTAGTTCAGTTCTGGTTCAGTTCTGGTTCAGTTCTGGTTCAGTTCTGGTTCAGTTCTAGTTCAGTTCTAGTTTAGTTCTAGTTCAGTTCTAGTTCTAGTTCAGGTTTAGTTAGTTCTAGTTTAGTTCTAGTTCAGTTCTAGTTCAGTTCTAGTTCAGTTCTAGTTCAGGTCTAATTCAGTTCTAGTTCAGTTTTAGTTCAGTTCTAGTTCAGTTCTAGTTCAGTTCTAGTTCAGTTCTAGTTCAGTTCTAGTTCAGTTCTAGTTCAGTTCTAGTTCAGTTCTAGTTCAGTTCTAGTTCAGTTGTAGTTCAGTTCTAGTTTAAGTTCTAGTTCAGTTCTAGTTCAGTTCTAGTTCAGTTTTAGTTCAGTTCTAGTTCAGTTCTAGTTCAGTTCTAGTTCAGTTCTAGTTCAGTTCTAGTTCAGTTCTAGAGTTTTACTTCAGTTCTAGTTCAGTTCTAGTTCAGTTCTAGTTCAGTTCTAGTTCAGTTCTAGTTCAGTTCTAGTTCAGTTCTAGTTCAGCTCTAGTTCAGTTCTAGTTCAGTTCTAGTTCAGTTCTGGTTCAGTTCTGGTTCAGTTCTGGTTCAGTTCTGGTTCAGTTCTAGTTCAGTTCTAGTTTAGTTCTAGTTCAGTTCTAGTTCTAGTTCAGGTTTAGTTTAGTTCTAGTTTAGTTCTAGTTCAGTTCTAGTTCAGTTCTAGTTCAGTTCTAGTTCAGGTCTAATTCAGTTCTAGTTCAGTTTTAGTTCAGTTCTAGTTCAGTTCTAGTTCAGTTCTAGTTCAGTTCTAGTTCAGTTCTAGTTCAGTTCTAGTTCAGTTCTAGTTCAGTTCTAGTTCAGTTGTAGTTCAGTTCTAGTTAAGTTCTAGTTCAGTTCTAGTGCAGTTCTAGTTCAGTTTTAGTTCAGTTCTAGTTCAGTTCTAGTTCAGTTCTAGTTCAGTTCTAGTTCAGTTCTAGTTCAGTTCTAGTTAAGTTTTACTTCAGTTCTAGTTCAGTTCTAGTTCAGTTCTAGTTCAGTTCTAGTTCAGTTCTAGTTCAGTTCTAGTTCAGTTCTAGTTCAGTTCTAGTTCAGTTCTAGTTCAGTTCTAGTTCAGTTCTAGTTCAGTTCTAGTTCAGTTCTAGTTCAGTTCTAGTTCAGTTCTAGTTCAGTTCTAGGTCAGTTCTAGTTAAGTTCTAGATCAGTTCTAGTTCAGTTCTAGTTCAGTTCTAGTTCAGTTCTAGTTCAGTTCTAGTTCAGTTCTAGTTCAGTTCTAGTTCAGTTCTAGTTCAGTTCTAGATCAGTTCTAGTTCAGTTCTAGTTCAGTTCTAGTTCAGTTCTAGTTCAGTTCTAGTTCTAGTTCAGTTCTAGTTCAGTTCTAGTTCAGTTTAGTTCAGTTCTAGTTCAGTTCTAGTTCAGTTCTAGTTCAGTTCTAGTTCAGTTCTAGTTCAGTTCTAGTTCAGTTCTAGTTCAGTTCTAGTTCAGTTCTAGTTCAGTTCTAGTTCGTTCTAGTTCAGTTCTAGTTCAGTTCTAGTTCAGTTCTAGTTCAGTTCTAGTTCAGTTTCTAGTTCAGTTCTAGTTCAGTTCTAGTTCAGTTCTAGTTCAGTTCTAGTTCAGTTCTAGTTCAGTTCTAGTTCAGTTCTAGTTCAGTTTCTAGTTCAGTTCTAGTTCAGTTCTAGTTCAGTTCTAGTTCAGTTCTAGTTCAGTTCTAGTTCAGTTCTAGTTCAGTTCTAGTTCAGTTCTAGTTCAGTTTCTAGTTCAGTTCTAGTTCAGTTCTAGTTCAGTTCTAGTTCAGTTCTAGTTCAGTTCTAGTTCAGTTCTAGTTCAGTTCTAGTTCAGTTCTAGTTCAGTTCTAGTTCAGTTCTAGTTCAGTTCTAGTTCAGTTCTAGTTCAGTTCTAGTTCAGTTCTAGTTCAGTTCTAGTTCAGTTCTAGTTCAGTTCTAGTTCAGTTCTAGTTCAGTTCTAGTTCAGTTCTAGTTCAGTTCTAGTTCAGTTCTAGTTCAGTTCTAGTTCAGTTCTAGTTCTAGTTCAGTTCTAGTTCAGTTCTAGTTCAGTTCTAGTTCAGTTCTAGTTCAGTTTCTAGTTCAGTTGTAGTTCAGTTCAAGTTCAGTTCTAGTTCAGTTCTAATTCAATTCAGTTTTAATTCAGTTCCATTTTTGTTTCTATTTACATATATTCGTCCATTTTATTGTTCAAGGCACTCGGGAAATGCAGTGTATAAGGTTGGTTATTGAATAATGCCTATATTGGTTCTATAAAATTATTAAATCAAAATATATATATAGTTTTAGAGTTCGGTGTGAAATTTAAACGAGTGAGCAGAATAAAATTTTGATTTGTAAAAATTTTATACAAAAATTTATTTGAAAAAAAATATATATATATATTTAAATCTATAGACCTCAAATAAGGTATTAAACCTCCCTTTACTATTATCAATCACTGTATCATAAATGCAAAAAAAAAAATAAAATAAAAAAACTTCAGCAAAATCAATGACAAATTAAATTCCTCATTAAAAAATTAAAACAAGACTAAATATGTATTAAATATAAAAGACAATGAAAGAAAAAAAATATAAATGCGGATAAAATAACACAAATGTCTCTAATATATAAAATTACGAAAAAAGTGAATATTTTTCCATATCTACGAGCTACGAGTGTGTATAATAAGATATGACCCAATATTTTGCCCGCTCAATGGTTTGGCTACAAAATGCTACATATGTTTTATATTGTATTTAAAATTAAAACAAACAAAAAAATACTGCTGATTTAAACAGAAAAAATATCAAATTACTAATATAATATAATACTATACTAAACTAAACAACAATACAAAACAAAAATATAATAGTAATAATAAAACAAATAAATATTTAACAAAAAAAAAAAAAAAAAACTAAATATTGTATAAAATTAAGCTTTATTTTATTTTGTATTAACAACTCACCTCAGTCTTTAAAAGTTTTGGTTACACAAATGTTTGAAACAATAATAATAATGATGATGATGAACACGATGATGATGATAATGATTAAATTACCAACAAACACGAATAAACAATCTCAAACAGCCAGCAATCACAAACACAAACAAATAGAAATTTTTAAATATTTCTACAGTTATAAATTTATTTGATTTTCTTTTCTTTTTTTATTTGTTTAAATTTATTTATGATTTTTTTTTTTTGATTTAAATAAATATTTATTTAATAATAAACACTCTCTTCTTTCTTTCTTCTAACACTTTGGAAAACTATTTTCCTTTTTTTGCTCTTTTCCTTCAAAACTTTGTTTCAATTTGTATTTTATTATATTTCTTTTGAAAATAATGTTTGATTGATTTGTTTGGAAAAAAATAATACAAGACTGATTACTTCCGTTTTTTTTCTTATTTATTTTTAAAATTAAACCACTTTCTTTTCTTTTATAGTTGTAGATAAAATATATGAAATTTTTATTAATTTTTATTATTGTATATTTTCCATTTAGTTTAATTTTATTTGTTTTTCTTTGATTTATTTTTATTATTATTAATCTTTTTCGTTTATTTTGTTTATGACAATGATGATTTTTTGTATGAATTTTTTTCGTATTTGTTGTCTGTTTTCTATAGTTGTTGCAGTTGCATACAAATTGCATCTATAGTTACAGATGTTGCCACAAGTTTTTTTAAGAATTTCTTTAAGGATTTTATTCTGCATAATTAGTATGAAAATATCTGCAAAGAAATTAAGAATTAAAGGAAAATTAGTAAATATAAATTAAAAATATTTATATAAAAAGTCTTTAAAACAAAACTTAAGGGGTCCGAAATACAATGTATAAAAATGAAAATAACAATTTCTTAAATAATTATGCATAATAATAAAAAAATGTTCATAGACAAAAATTAACCAAAATTATTTATTCCTGAACTGAACTACAACTGAAGTAGAACTGAACTAGAACTGAACTAGAACTGAACTAGAACTGAACTAGAACTGAACTAGACTCAACTAGAACTGAACTAAAACTGAACTAGAACTGAACTAGAACTGAACAAGAACTGAACTAGAACTGAACTAGAACTGAACTACAACTGACTAGAACTGAACTAGAACTGAACTAGAACTGAACTAGACTGAACTAGAACTGAACTAGAACTGAACTAGAACTGACTAGAACTGAACTAGAACTGAACTAGAACTGAACTAGAACTGAACTAGAACTGAACTTGAACTAGACTGAACTTGACTAGAAACTGAACTAGAACTTGAACTAGAACTGAACTAAGACTGAAACTAGAACTGAACTAGAACTGAACTAGTAATTGAACTAGAACTGACTAGAAACTGACTGAACTGATAGAACTAGAACTAGAACTGAACTAGCACTGAACTAGACTGAACTAGAACTGACCTAGAACGGAAACTAGCACTGACTAGAACTGAACTAGAACTGAACTAGAACTGAAACTAGAACTGAACTAGAACTGAACTTCTAGAACTGAACTAGAAAACTGAACTAGAACTGAACTAGAACTGAACTAGAACTGAACTAGAACTGAACTCAGAACTGAAACTAGAACTGAACTAGAACTGAACTATAACTGAACTAGAAATGAACTAGAACTGAACTAGAACCTGAACTAGAACTGAACTAGAACTGAAACTAGAACTGAACTAGAACTGAACTAGAACTGAACTAGAACTGAACTAGAACTGAACTAGAACTGAACTAGAACTGAACTAGAACTGAACTAGAACTGAACTAGAACTGAAACTAGAACTGAACTAGAACTGAACTAGAACTGAACTAGAACTGAACTAGAACTGAACTAGAACTGAACTAGAACTGAACTAGAACTGAACTAGAACTGAACTAGAACAGACCTAGAACTGAACTAGAACTGAAATAGAATTGAACTAGAACTGAACTAGAACTGAACTAGAACTGAACTAGAAACTGAACCAGGAACTAAACTAGAACTGAACTAGAACTGAACTAGAACTGAACTAGAACTGAACTAGAACTGAACTAAAACTGAACTAGAAACTGACTAGAACTAGAACTGAACTAGAACTGAACTAGAACTGAACTAGAACTAGAACTGAACTAGAACTAGAACTGAACTAGAACTGAACTAGAACTGAACTAGAACTGAACTAGAACTAAACTAGAACTGAACTAGAACAGAACTAGAACTGAACTAGAACTGAACTAGAACTGAACTAGAACTGAACTAGAACTGAACTAGAACTGAACTAGAACTAGAACTAGAAAAAGTTTTGAATGCCTCAGCGATATCGAAAGAAAAGTGAGGGAAAAATATGTGTGTGAAAATTTTTAAAAACTGAGTGTTTTTCGTACATAATTTTTCGACACACAATTGTTGCCGCAATAAGGGATTTAGCAGTTATACCAATTTTTTCTACAAGATTTGAAATTCTTATTTGAAAGCACCTATTTATTTCACATGAACATTTTGAATATTTGTTTCATTAAAAAGTATTACTTTTACACAAATTTTCTGCAAAATTTTTTTTTCAAAATTTCAGATAATTTTGTAAAATTTGTCTAGATTTAAGTTTATAAATAAATTTTTTTTAAAAAGTTGCAAAATAAAAATATTTAATTATTTTTCTTAACAAATAATAACATTTTAGTTTGAAAATATTTTTTGTATTTTTTTAACAAAAAAGTCTATAAGAAAAACTAGCTTTTTTAAAATTCACACAGGTGTCTATTTTTATTTGTATTATTATTATTTTGTTGTTGTTATTATGTTAATAAAGTTGTTGTTGTTTTTTAACTTTGTTTTTGTAGTTGTAGTTAATAGCATTTATTATTATTGTTTAGATCTTACACTTCTTGTCTAACAGAAAAAAAACCCGCTTTTTCAATATTGTTTATACTTGATTTTTTTCTCAATTTTGTTTTTGTATTTATTTACATTGATTTTGTTTTTATTTTTTCTTTCAGTCTTTTCTTTAAAGAAATAAATCAATAATGTTTGTTTTTTGTTAAATATTTATAAAATCAATTAGTAAAACAACGTCATATGCTCCAATTTTGTTGTTGGAATTTTTTTTTACAAAATTTTGTTTCTCAAACTCAAAATTTTTCAACACTTAAGATTATATATTTAAAAGCACTCTCTATAAATAAAACAATAATTTTTCAAAATATTACCAGTTTAATAAAGATATTTCCAATTTAATAAGAAAATTTAACACTCTTATTGTAAATTGTTACGCTCTTCTCTTTTGGTTTTTTTAAAATATGAACAAATTATTAAAATATTTGTTCATAATATGTGTTTTAACATTTGTTTTCATTTCAATTTGTTACACCAAAGATTTATTTAAATTAAATAAAATTAAAACAACAAAATAAAGCAAAAATAAAAGAGCAAAAAATTGTGTGTTTTTTAATTATTTAAAATAGTTTTAAACTCGTTCATTGCCGCAGAACGACTAACGCCTCACTGTCTACCTGATTCAAATAATCCCAGTTCGAAAAAATATACAACTACGAGTACATCGTATAACGCAACGGCCACAAACACAATGGAAACACAACCGCCAGCAGACTACAAAACACCACACATCAGATCAGATCACACACTAACACATCGTCGTCGTTGAATCGAATCAAGTAACGTTAACGATCGATTTTGATCGTGAACGTTGTAGTCAACGACGTCGACGTCGTCAACAACATCGTCTTGGTTGTCGGTATTTTCGTAATGTATTGAAATAAAAAAAAAATAATAATAAAAAACACAAGCAAAAGCAAAATTTTAAGAAACTCAAAAAACTCTCATGAACAAATAAAACAAAAAATTAAGACAAGCCAAGACATGCTTATAGTCCGTCGCAATTATTGTAAACGTATGTATGTACTTATATGTACGTTGTTTATTATTTGTTGTAGTGATATTAATGTTTATAAACAAAAATTTAGATTTTACTGTGGATTTTTGCAAGGTATTCAGACCGTTCCTAGGTATCGAAGAATATCGAAAAAATCTAAACAAACGTAATATGTTGTTATAATGTTCGAATATGTTCTTCGAAAATTGTTCTGCTAATCTGTATTCGACTTTCGCCATAAACTAGATAGAAACTAGAACTGAAATGGAACTGGAACTGAAATGAACTGGAACTGAATTGGAATAGAACTTGTACTAGAACTAGAACGAACTAGAACTGAACTAGGACTGAACTAGAACTGAACTAAACTGCACTATAACTGAACTAGAACTTAACTAGAACTGAACTAGTAAATGACTGAGAACTGAACTAGAACTGAACTAGAACTGAACTAGAACGAACTAGAACTGAACTAGAACTGATCTAAACGAACTATGAACTGAACTAGAACTGAAACTAGAACTGAACTATAACTTGAACTAGAACTGAACTAGAACTGAACTAGACTGAACTAGAACTGAACGCGAACTGATTCTAGAACTGAACTATAAACTGAACTAGAACTAACTAGAACCGAACTAGACACTGAACTAGAACTGACTAGAACTGAACTGGAACTGAACTAGAACTGAACTAGAACTGAACTAGAACTGAACTAGAACTGAACTAGAACTGAACTAGAACTGAACTAGAACTGAACTAGAACTGAACTAGAACTGAACTAGAACTGAACTAGAACTGAACTAGAACTGAACTAGAACTGAACTAGAACTGAACAGAACTAAACTAGAACTGAACTAGAACTGAACTAGAACTGAACTAGAACTGAACTAGAACTGAACTAGAACTGAACTAGAACTGAACTAGAACTGAACTAGAACTGAACTAGAACTGAACTAGAACTGAACTAGAACTGAACTAGAACTGAACTAGAACTGAACTAGAACTGAACTAGAACTGAACTAGAACTGAACTAGAACTGTACTGGAACTGTACTGGAACTGAACTAGAACTGAACTAGAACTGAACTAGAACTGAACTAGAACTGAACTAGAACTGAACTAGAACTGAACTAGAACTGAACTAGAACTGAACTAGAACTGAACTAGAACCTGAACTAGAACTGAACTAGAAACTGAAACTAGAACTGAAACTAGAACTGAAACTAGAACTGAACTAGAACTGAACTAGAACTGAACTAGAACTGAACTAGAACTGAACTAGAACTGAACTAGAACTGAACTAGAACTGAACTAGAACTGAACTAGAACTGAACTAGAACTGAACTAGAACTGAACTAGAACTTGAACTAGAACTGAACTAGAACTGAACTAGAACTGAACTAGAACTGAACTAGAACTGAACTAGAAACTGAACTAGAACTGAACTAGAACTGAACTAAACTGAACTAGAACTGAACTAGAACTGAACTAGAACTGAACTAGAACTGAAACTAGAACTGAACTAGAACGAACTAGAACTGAACTAGAACTGAACTAGAACTGAACTAGAACTGAACTAGAACTGAACTAGAACTGAACTAGAACTGAACTAGAACTGACTAGAACTGAACTAGACTGAACTAGAACTGAACTAGAACTGAACTAGAACTGTACTGGAACTGTACTGGAACTGAACTAGAACTGAACTAGAACTGAACTAGAACTGAACTAGAACTGAACTAGAACTGAACTAGAACTGAACTAGAACTGAACTAGAACTGAACTAGAACTGAACTAGAACTGAACTAGAACTGAACTAGAACTGAACTAGAACTGAACTAGAACTGAACTAGAACTGAACT